AACAACAAAATTAAGAGTCAATCTACATAATGGTACAAAATATTTGCAAACCATCCATCAGATATGGGATTAATATGCAAAATCTATAAGGAACTCATACAACTCAAGAGCAAATATCAAAATAACCCAGTTTAAAAAAAATGGGCAAAGGACCTAAATAGATTTTTTTCCTAAAGAAGACATGCAAATGACCAACAACTGTATGAACATGTGCTCAATCATTAGGGAAATGCAAATCAAAACCACAATGAGATATCACCTCACACCTGAAACTGGTGCAGCCGCTGTGGGAAACTGTACAGAAGCTCCTTAAAAAATTAAAAATAGAACTACCATATGACTCAGCAATCCTACTTCTGAATACTCATCTGAAAAGAATGAAATCACTGTCTTGGAGAGCTGCCTACATCCCCGTATTTGCAGTATTATTCACAATAGCTAAAACATAGAAACAATCTAAGTGTCTATTGAGAGATAAATGGATAAAAAATGTGGCATGTATACATACAATGGAATATTATTCAGCCACAGAAGAAGAAAATCCTGCCATTTGAGTAAACATGGTTGAAACTTGGGAGCATTATGCCAAGTTAAATAAGTCAGACCAAGAAAGACAAATGTTGTATGATCTCACTTACGTGTGGAATCTAAAAAAGTTGATCTCATAGAAGCAGAGTTGAATGGTGGTTGCCAGGAGCTGGACTGGGGAAGTGAGGGTGATGCAGACACTGGCCCACAGTGTCCATGTCATTATGGATAAAATGAGACAGCAACAAAAATCTTCAGAAATAAAATGAACACAGACAACCCAATATGGGACCCAATATGGGACCCAATATGGGACTACCAAGTCTGGTGGAGGAAAAGGGACAGCATAGCTTTTCTCTCAAGGGGAGCAAAAGCCGAGACTTCCACCATGACAGGCCTTTATTGGGTTTCTTGGCACATTACATGATGGTCCTCATTTACTATGCACAGGTTCACTTTAGGTGGTTACCTTTTACAGAAAACAAAGGACCCAATGCTGCTAATCACATCACAGAAAAGAGATATTTGCAAATGAAAAGGCAAAAGTGGTTGAACCAGTTACACTAATCCTTGGAAGGTTTAGCATGGATTTTAGGAAGTTACTTCGCAGTAAATGTCCTCAATTCAGGGTGAGGGAGTTTTAGCAAAAAGCAAGACTCATAGTGGCCTAGGCACATTGCAGGCCTAATTCCCCCCGGGAGAACCTACCCATGGGCATGGGTCCTGTGTATCTCTGAGTGGGAGCTGGGCCCACGCCATGCAGAATGGTCTCCTACATGAGGGGATATTGGTCACAGGTACAAATGACTGGTTGCAATGTGAGTAAGCTCTGGGATCTAGTGTACGGTATGATGACTGTGGCTAACAGTATTGTGTCATAAATGAAAGTTGATGATGGAGCAGATCTTAAATGTTCTCAACACACACATGCACACAAATGATATTTATGTGAGATGATGGAGGTGTTAACTAACCTTATTGTGGTAATAATTTTGTATCAAATCATTACATTGTTTACCTTACAGAATGGTGTACGTCAGTTGTATCTCAGTAAAGCTGGGAAAAACAGGAGCGAGTTAGGTCTCTCTTGAAGAGGACCTACTACCAGAAGAAGAGCTGGCAGACAGCCTCAGACTATCATGACCAGCCTGTCCCTACTACCCTGGCCGCCACCCTCTCAGCCTGGGCTTCTGCCAGTTGCTCACTCCCTGGACTGCTCCAGGCCATGATTGAGCACAGCCTTATTACAGCCTTCCTATGCCTCGGGAGCCTCTGCAGGTAAGCTTCGCCTGGGGCTCCCCACCAGTCTGGTCTAGACTTTCTCAGAGTTGTCACAGCCAGGCTGCAGCCTGAGGCTCTCCTCACCCACTCCTCTCATCTCTCTGTCTTATTGTTGGTGTCACACTTGCATTGTGGCCTGAAGGCCAACGCATTCACTGCATGTCATAACCATGAGTGAACCCAGGGACATGGGACATGAAGCAAGCTGTGAAAGAATGCAAACAGTATGATTGCACTGATACAAAATTTAAAAACATGCAAAACTAAACTTTTGGGGGAATGTACACATATGTGTGAAATCACAACAAAATGCAAGGGAATGGTAAGCATGAAATTTAGGATGACAGGCGTGTCTGAGGGAGGGGAGGGCAGGGACAGGAAGGAAGAGGGCCACACGGGGGTTCCAACGGTCCTAGTTCTGTGTGTGCGGCTGGAGGTGAGTTCATGTGGGTAACTTTTATTTACATCCAGGATATAATTGTTATTAATATTCCCTCAAACCTGCTCAATTTTCTCAAAACATAGATAATGGGTCCAAAAGAGATTTCTTCAATTTTCAGAAAATAATAATAACAATAATACAATAGCTATCATTTATTGAGTGTTCACCATAGTTTCATTCTTTCATTAATTCTTATAACAATTTTCAAAACCCAAATGTAATAATTATTTTAAAATCCTCATATAAAACAAAACAAAATAAGTAAAATATTAATTGTTTTAAAGGTAGAAATAAATCAGATATCAGTAATAAGAAGAGAGAGAGAAATAAATTCAGCTATATGGGAAAGCCAGGAATTCTTCTATCTAAATTTTACAAATAAAATAAAGTCATTTATATAAGTTTGAAGTATAAACACCCAAATATTACAATCCAAAGACATGGTCCATGAAGAATGGAAATAGTCCCTCTCCTCAGACCTGAGCCCTGTCTGGGCAACCTCAGGGGGCGGTCCTACCAGCAGGCCGACGACACATCCTTCCGCAGGACGGACTTCTCCCCCGTCCACATCCTCTATCTAGTCCAACTGAAATGCAAGTAGTGAGGGTTAGACAATGGATGATGCACTTGAAAACATCATTTTTTAGACCATGGATAAAACCTGAATTTTCATATGGAAAAATAAAAGCTTTCGCCAGTCCTCTTAGCTCTGATTTTTGCATACCCAGAAACAGAAGTTTCCCCTACATGTAATCAGAGATTTTTCAGGCCTCGCCAGCTCCTAGAAAGGGGTCACACCAGCAGTGACGCCCTGCCTCTAGAAGCTGAAAAGTACCAGTGGGGCACGGCTCCCAGTTGCCGAGGAGAGCCAGCCTTTTCTTTTTTGCCCTCCTCCACACATCCAATCTATAGCCAGCACAGGTGACACCCTGACTTTGGTGTTTAAAGTTTGTGGGGGTGCAGGGCAGTCTTGCAGGACTGAGCTCTTAACCTGTGGAGTCTGATGCTGTCTGTCTCCAGGTAGATCGTGGCAGAATTGAGTTGAATCGTAAGACAACCAGCTGGAGTCCAAGTTGCTTGGTGCTGGGAAACCGCCCCCCCCCCACACACACACTGTATGGTACCAGAATCATTAGGAACCATAGACTTTTTAATGAAGTTTTATCAAAATTATTCTTTTTTAAAGATTTTATTTATTTACCTTTAGAGAGGGAAGGGAGGGAGAAAGAGAGAGAAACATCAATGTGCGGTTGCTGGGGGCCGTGGCCTGCAACCCAGGTATGTGGCCTGACTGGGAATCGAACCTGCAACACTTTGGTTCACAGCCCGCGCTCAATCCACTGAGCTACACCAGCCAGGGCAAAATTATTCTTGTACATAATTTTAAAAGTCAATGAGTAATACTAATCTTATTATAAAATGGAATAGACACTATAAATTGCTACCCAGAGACAACTACTAATTCTATTAACAGATGCTTTTTAATCTTTACCTCCTGTCTCTAAAAACCATGATTATGTTGGTACTTAGCAATTTTTCAGTTTAACTCTCATCCACAACTCACCTTACCCCTTATCACTCACACACTTAGACACACACCCCCCAAAAAATATTCATGCCGTACTTTTGGATAGATTGCCACAGTTTATATTATTATTTCAATGTAAATACTATTCTGAGTCAGGCCATATAGTAAATTATGATTATTTTTTTCCTAGTTAATTTTTCCCTGTAATTAAGAACTGCCTTGTTTTTGTTTTTGATTTGGGGGATGGGGTTGTTTGTTTTTGCTTATTTTTCTATGTAAATTAGCATCCCGTAATTTCCCCACACTGTTGAAATCTCCAATGCATGCAAATATATCGAGCATGTTACAACGTGACTGCATCAGTCCCCTGAGCTGGGAGCAGCTTCACTCTGTCTGCCGGTCTCCTGTGATCTCCTCTGCCACCTTGCAGGCCTGCACTGCTTTTCCTAGGTCAGATCCCCGTGTCCAGGAGCAGGTGTCTTGGTCTTTCCTCAGCCTGACTCTTCGTTTGGGCAGAGCACATTCCCTAGTAAGTGACCATCCAAGCACACAGGAGATAAATATTGCTTGTTTGAAAAGACACTTATTCTGCTCTTATATCTGATAGAATGACTTGGTGTGGAATTCGACAATGGAAAATAGTTACATGGAGAGCATCACATTCTGGTGTACTGTATTGCTATAGAGGTGTTCAAAGCCGGCGTGGTTTTTTATTCTTTGAATGTGATCAGTTTTAGGTCTATGGCAGTTTTTAGAATCTATGTGCCCTCACCCATGCCAAGCAACCACTGTTCTGATTTCTATCATCACAGCTTAAGTTTGCCTATTCTTGAACTTGTTTTTCAGGTTTTAAAACTTTTTATTTGCATATTTAAAAATTGTGCAATCTAATTATTAAAATCATTTTAATGAAAAAAATGGCACTCTAATTAAATTCCATCTTAGAGCCCACAGGGCACCTCAGATCAGCTTGGTTTTTACTCAAGATTTCACTGTCGTCCAACCCAGCTTCTCCCTTCACCAGCACGCAAGTTCTTTTCCTTCCCTTCCAGCCAGAGGCAGGTGCAGCCTTCATTGTCAGTAGTTATGTGAAAAGGGGCAGTGCAGTCATTTAAACTGATCCAGCTTCTTTGCATCTTACAAAGTTAAACAACTAAAAGAGGTAAAATAAGAAGGCAATGCTTGTGCAATGTACAGTGCATATTGGTGGTGTGGGCCTCATTACAATTTGCCTGCTTCCTTCTCCTGTTCAGTTGTTTCTTTGGAGGGCTGTGGATTTTTCTCTTGCATTTCTGTCTTCTTCAGTTTCAACTCACCTAATTTCTCAATCTCGGCCATATCGGGTTTATCAGACATGGTTGCTGTGGAAGCAGAGAAACGAGAAGAGTCCTATGCTGCCAAATCTGCCTATTCTTATACTTCTTATAAACAAAATTTCTTATAAACAAATTCATGCAATATGAACCCTTTGTGTCTAGCATAATGTTTCTGACATCACCTAGTTATATGTCTACCAGTAGTTTATCTTCTTTTATTGCTGAATGATATTTCTTTATATGGATATACCATCAATGGTTAATGGAAATTTGGCTTCTTTACATCTTAGAGATAAGGAATATTTTTTGAGAGCTTGAACATTTTTATACAAGTCATTTTGTTCAATTGACTTCTAAGTCACTCAAGTAAGAACAATATTGGGGAAGTAAATGTCAATAAAATCAGCAACAAATATACATTTTATGTATCTCTTTGTTTCCATAGAAGCACATAAGCTCTCACCAGCATGAGTAATCTGAGTCTTTTTATAAACGAAACTCCCCTTAGGACATCCAGAAGCATGTGTCCCAAATGTGGTTGACCATTGGCACTCACTGGGGTCTTTAGTCAAATATTTATTCTTAGGCCCTGCCCTAAACAGAATTTTGAAGGGAATGGGTTTTAACTTACTAGGTCTGGAGGAATCCAAAACACACGGTTTTTAGCTTACGCCCCAGGTGACGCAGATGTTGAGAAACATGGTTGGATGGGAGTGCCCTGCCTGGTGGGGACAGCCCAGCAATGGCACTGGGCGGCTCGCACTTTGCTCTGCTGTCCTGCCCTGGATAATTGTTGCTGATTTCAAACACTGTTTTACAACATCCCAGTTCCAGGAGACCCAGACTGAAAAACCCAAAATGAAGAGAATCACTATTTCAGCTCTACTGCTAAATGTCTGTGCCGTGCTTAGCAACTGACATCTAGTCCGGGTACCACCCCTTCCTTACCCACAGAACACAAAGACTGAGGGGGGTGATGGCTGTAGAAAATGACCCAAGTCCTGAAAGGGGGGTGGAAAGGTGGCTCTGTGCCTTCCAGTGTCATACTAGAGCACTGCCTAATCAGCCCAGCCATGCAAGGGCCATCTTACCCTCTGGAAATACAACTTTGCCACCACGTGCTGCTAACTTGTAGAAAACAGATAAAGAGCATCTGACTCCTGTCCAGTAGAGATACAAATGACATCTGCCTGGTAGAGAAGATGATGTGTAGAGTTGTCGAGAAATAGATGTAAAAGTACAAAACTGGACACATGGAGGAAGACGTAAGAGAGCTGAAGAAGAGCCATTGCCTCGTGGAAGCAGGACCTGCCTGGAGAATCCTGCTTGTGACTGCAGATATGTGTTGTTTTGGTAAGAATCTTCGTTTAAACAACCTTTTAAAGTTTAAGAAATAAAAGTTAATGTTTTATTGACACTGTTAACAGTAAACAAAAGCCAACTAGGTATTCCATCACCAAAAAAAATGTATTCAGGAAATGAAAAGATTGCAGTACAGAGCATGCAAACCAGTAAGCTGCGTGCACCGAGACGGGCTAGGAGCAGTCGGAGCTCCTCTTACCGAGGGCAGGAAGGAGGTCAGGGGAGGGACTGTTACATCACTGCTGCTCCCTCGCTCTGGCTCTGTCGTAACCCTAGAGTTCTTCCTCCAGGGCTTTTGAGTCACCTGAGGTGTGAGACAGCCTCCCACAGGCCCTCCAGATTCTTGTCTAGTTTAAAGTCTGTCATCAATGTTGACAGCATGAAAATATTAATTACAGCCATTGTTCTCAGGGCTCTGGGGTCAGCATCTTCAGCCCCACATCCAACTGTGCATGAGCTAAAGGACAGTGTCTTTAGCGCCTGCTTCAGGAACTCCTGGTGCCAAAAGATGAGCCCTGAAGCAGCTGGGCAGGAAAACATCCCACAGGTTCTTAATCCCTCCTGGAACCCAAGAGCTCCTTCTCCAATGTGCCAGGCCCTTTGCAGCACCCGCTTACCTAAGTAAGATCCAAAGAAGCCAAATCCTCCAATGATTGCTGGCCTGCACCTCATGCAACTCAAATGTAAAACATTTGATACAGGAAATGTGTGCCAACCAGGTGTACCCCAGGCGATCACCTGAAAACAAGAGTGCTGTCATCCAGGGCCCTTCCATGAGTCCATCTGCTGTCCCATATTGTGGGGCAGCAGAGGGAATCACATCCCACAATTTTTCTCATATTTCTCCAATGTGATGGGAAAACCAGGGCTCATGAACGTTGGCTCTCTGGTTCCACAAGCTGTAAGACTGTTGTGTCTTTATTCAGATTAGTCTCTGAAAGTGTCATCAGAACCTCTTCTGACTGTCAGGATGACCACCTTGGCTCAGAGCCACATGATACCAGGACTCATTTTTGAGCTTTTGTTTGAGCTCACATCTGTGCCAAGTGACCATTCATAGTGTCACAGTGCGTGAGTGAACCAGGCTTTCACAGTAGAGAAAGGAGGTGAGACACTGACTCAGCACACGCCTGTAGCAGGACGGAGGTGCTGCAGCTCACAAGCAAATGTGTTACGGCTCCCAATCGTCACATGTAACAATTGACAATGAAACACTGTAAATTGACAGATGTACCAAACTGCCACCACTTATTAGTAATGAGCATACAGAGTAGTAAATCTCTCATATTAATTTTTCTATCTGATATTCCAGAACTAAATAGCTTAGTGCCCATTTTAATGTTAATTTGTATAAAGCTAAAATGCTAAAATTATATTTAATTGAAGATGAAAACTTTACAGAATGGAGAGATATTTCATTAAATCAGAGCTTCCTGACTGCTTACTTGTGTGCTTTATAGAGTGTTCCTCTGATTATCCAGAAATACAAAAAAAAAAAAAAAGAATCTATTACCTGTGTTGTTTTAAAGACTTTCTTTAAGCAAGTGGAATTTTCTGCATTTGTAATATCAGAATGAAAATTACATACAGAAATCCATTATATACAGAACCATATCTGAGCTACATTTTTCTATAATTACACCCTCAATCAGTTATTTAATTTCATCAGAAAACATCATCTGAAGCATGGCTGATGGGAAAGCAGGCCTCTCTCTTGCCCAAAGAAGGCCCCTCACCTGCAGTTTTTAGGGAGCGTGTGGATGGAGAAGACCAGAGGAAGCAGAGAGAGAGCAAGGCTGTGAGGCCCCACACAGCCTGGTCACGCAGCAGTGCCCTCCTGCACACGTACCCCCCCACACACACCGGCAGGGCCTTCTCCCCCAGCCCAGCCCCATCCCAGCGCACCCACTGCAACTCCTCCTCCATCACTCTTGCTGATCTTGGTCTCCTCTTTGTTTTCTGTTGCACTTTATGTCTGTTGTAGGTTTTTACTGTAAAAACACTTGAAGTTTATATTTAGTTTTATGTTTACACATTAAAATTAGGAAAAAATAATTTAATTTAAATTATTAAGAATTATTTTTCACCCTGGCTGGCATAGCTCAGTGGATTGAGTGCGGGCTGCGAACCAAAGTGTCGCAGGTTCGATTCCCAGTCAGGGTACATGCATGGGTTGCAGGCCATGACCCCCAGCAACCGCACATTGATGTTTCTCTCTCTCTCTATCTCCCTCCCTTCCCTCTCTAAACATAAATAAATAAAATCTTTTTTTAAAAAAAAGGAATTATTTTTCTTAAAAAAAGAACTTCTGGCCAAGATGGAGGCTTAGGTAGACACACTGTACCTCCTCACACAACCAAAAGAAGGACAGCAACAAATTTAAAAGCAAAAAACAACGAGAACTGACAGAAAATTGAACTGTATGGAAGTCTGACAACCAAAGAGTTACAGAAGAAGCATTCATCCAGACCCATAGGAGGGGCAGAGACCAGAAGCTGGGTGGAGAGGACTCCCAGCAAGGGGGCAGCTGGCAGACCGAGTGATGCAGCAGCTTGCAGCCTGGGTGTTCCCACATTCACATGCAGACAAACCGAGAGTAACAATTCGGGAGTGAGATAGCCCGCACACCCAGGGTTCCAGCGTGGGGAAATAAAGCCTCAAAGCCTCTGACTGAAAACGCCTGGGGAGAAACTCCCAGCCTCACAGGAGAGTTCATTGGAGAGACCCACAGGATTCTAGAATGTACACTAGCCCACCCACACGGGAATCAGCACCAGAAGGGCCCAGTTTGATTGTTGGAAGTGGGGAAAGTGACTGAAAACTGGCAGAGAGTGGAGCAAGGGGCATTGTTCCTTCTCAGACCCCTGCCCCACATACAGTGTCACAATGCAGCGATGTGGGTTGCCCCACCCTGGTGAACACCTAAGGCTCCACCCCTTACTATGTAACAGGCATGCTGAGACAAAAAAAAAATGGCCCAAATGAAAGAACAGATCAAAGCTCCAGAAAAAAATATAATTAAGCAATGAAGAGATAGCCAACCTTTCAGATACACAGTTCAAAACACTGGTTATCAGGATGCTCCAGGAACTCACTGGGTACTTCAACAGCATAATAAAGACTCAGGGAGCAATGAAGACTGCATTATGTGAAATAAAGAAAAATCTACAGGGAACCAACAGTGACGGGAAGGAAACCAGGACTCAAATCAATGGTTTGGAGCAGAAGGAAGAAATAAACATTATACCAGAACTGAATGAAGAAACAAGAATTCAAAAAATAAGGAGAGGCTTAGGAACCTGCAGGACATCTTTAAATACCCCAACATCCAAATCACAGGGGTGCCAGAAGGAGAAGAGGAAGACCAAGAAATTGAAAACTTGTTTGAACAAATAATAAAGGAGAACTTCCCCAATCTGGCAAAGGAAATAGACTTCCAGGAAGTCCAGGAAGCCCAGAGAGTCACAAAGAAGTTGGACCCAAGGAGGAACACACCAAAGCACATCATAATTACATTAGCCAAGATTGAAGATAAGGAGAGAATCTTAAAAGCAGAAAGAGGAAAGGACACAGTTACCTACAATAAGTTCCCACTAGACTATCAGCTGATTTCTCGAAAGAGAACTTGCAAGCAAGAAGGGGCTGGAAAGAAGTATTCCAAGTCATGAAAGGCAAGGA